TCACTAAAAACTAACCAAATGACTCCTGCCACCATATTATGATGTTGCCCAAGTTTTGGGCTCGATCTGAAGTCAATAGGTATAATAAATTGGACAATTCAAGTGCAACGGCAGTTCGTTCCTAATTGGAGTGGTTGGTGTTTTGGGTAGTTCTAGAGATCGGATTTCACTCAAACTTAACCAAATGACTCCTCCCACCATATTATGATGTTGCCCAAGTTTTGGGCCCAATCCGAAATCAGTAGGTGTAAGAAGTTGGACAATTCAAGTTCAATGGCAGATCATTCGTAATTGGTGTGGTTGGTGTTTTGGGTAGTTCTAGAGATCGGATTTCACACCAACTTAACCAAATGACTCCTCCCACCATATTATGGTGTTGCCCAAGTTTTGGGCTCGATCCAAAATCAATAGGTGTAAGAAATTGGACAATTCAAGTTCAAAGGCAGATCGTTCGTAATTGGAGTGGTTGGTGTTTTGGGTAGTTCTAGAGATCGGATTTCGCTCAAACTTAACAAAATGACTCCTCCCACCATATTATGACGTTGCCCAAGTTTGGGATCGATCCGAAAATCAATAGGTGTAAGAAATTGGACAATACAAGTTCAAAGGCAGTTCGTTCCTAATTGGAATGGTTGGTGTTTTGGGTAGTTCTAGAGATCGAATTTCACTCAAACTTAACCAAATGACTCCTCAAAAAATATTATGACATTGCCCAAGTTTTGGGCTCGATCCGAAATCAATAGGTGTAAGAAATTGGACAATACAAGTTCAAAGGCAGTTCGTTCCTAATTGGAATGGTTGGTGTTTTGGGTAGTTCTAGAGATCGAATTTCACTCAAACTTAACCAAATGACTCCTCAAAAAATATTATGACATTGCCCAAGTTTTGGGCTCGATCCGAAATCAATATTATGTTCAAAGGCAGTTCGTTCCTAATCGGAGTGGTTGGTGTATTCCATAGTTCTAGAGATAGGATTTCACTCAAAACTACCCAAATGGCTCCTCCCACCATATTATGTTGGAGCCCAAGTTTTGGGCTGGATCCGAAATCAATAGATGTAAGAAATTGGACAATTCAAGTTCAAATGCAGTTCGTTCCTAATTGGGGTGGTTGGTGTTTTGGGTAGTTCTAGAGATCGGATTTCACTCAAACTTAACCAAATGACTCCTCCCACCATATTATGATGTTGCCCAAGTTTTGGGCTGGATCCAAAATCAATAGGTGTAAGAAATTGGACAATTCATGTTCGAAGGCAGTTCGTTCCTAATTGGAGTGGTTTGTGTTTAGGGTAGTTCTAAAGATCGGATTTCACTCAAACTTAACCAACCGACTCCCCCCACCATATTTTGATGTTGCCCAAGTTTTGGGCTGGATCCAAAATCAATAGGTGTAAGAAATTGGACAATTCATGTTCGAAGGCTGTTCGTTCCTAATTGGAGTGGTTGGTGTTTTGGGTGGTTCTAGCGATCGGATTTCACTCAAACTTTACCAAATGACTCCTCCCACCATATTACGATGTTGCCCAAGTTTTCGGCTCGATCCGAAATCAGTAGGTGTAATAAATTGGGCAATTTATGTTCAAAGGCAGTTCGTTCCTAATCGGACTGGTTGGTGTATTCCATAGTTCTAGAGATCGGATTTCACTGAAAACTAACCAAATGACTCCTCCCCCCATATTATGAGGTTGCCCAAGTTTTGAGCTCGATCCGAATTCAATAGGTGTAAGAAATTGGACAATTTATGTCCAAAGGCAGCTCGTTCCTAATCAGAGTGGTTGGTGTATTCCATAGTTCTAGAGATCGGATTTCACTCAAAACTAACCAAATGACTCCTCCCAAAATATTATGATGTTGCCCAGGTTTTGGGCTCGATCCGAAATCAATAGGTGTAAGAAATTGGAGAATTCAAGTTCAAAGGCAGTTCGTTCCTAATCGGAGTGGTTGGTGTTTTGGGTAGTTCTAGAGATCGGATTTCACTCAAACTTAACCAAATAACTCCTCCCACCATATTATGATGTTGCCCAAGTTTTGGGCTCGATCCGAAATCAATAGGTGTAAGAAATTGAACAATTCAAGTTCAAAGGCAGTTCGTTCCTAGTTTGAGTGGATGGTGTTTTGGGTAGTTCTAGAGATCGGATTTCACTCAAACTTAGCCAACTGACTTATCCCACCATCTTATCATGTTGCCCAAGTTTTAGGCTCGATCCGAAATTAATAGGTGTAAGAAATTGGACAATTCAAGTTCAAAGGCAGTTCGTTCCTAATTGGAGTGGTTGGTGTTTTGGGTACTTCTAGAGATCAGATTTCACTCAAACTTAACCAAATGACTCCTCCCACCATATTATGATGTTGCCCAAGTTTTGGGCTTGATCCGAAATCAATATGTGTAAGAAATTGGACAATTTATGTTCAAGGGCAGTTCGTTCCTAATCGGAGTGGTTGGTGTATTCCATAGTTCTAGAGATCGGATTTCGCTCAAAACTAACCCAATGGCTCCTCCCACCCTATTATGATGTTGCCCCAGTTTTGGGCTCGATCCGAAATCAATAGGTGTAAGAAATTGGACAATTCAAGTTCAACGGCAGTTCATTCCTAATTGGAGTGGTTGGTGTTTTGGGTAGTTCTAGAGATCGTATTTCACTCAAACTCAACCAAATGACTCCTCCCTCCATATTGTGATGTTGCCCAAGTTTTCGGCTCGATACGAAATCAATAGGTATAAGAAATTGGACAATTCAAGTTCAAATGCAGTTCGTTCCCAATTGGGGTGGTTATTGTTTTGGGTAGTTCTAGAGATCGTATTTCACTCAAACTTAACCAAATGACTCCTCCCACCATATTTTGATGTTGCCCAAGTTTTGGGCTCAATCCAAAATGAATAGGTGTAAGAAATTACACAATTCAAGTTCAAAGGCAGATCGTTTGTAATTGGTGTGGTTGGTGTTTTGGGTAGTTCGAGAGATCGGATTTCACTCAAACTTAACCAAATGACTCCTCCCAGCATTTTATGATGTTGCCCAAGTTTTGGGCTCGATCCGAAATCAATAGGTGTAAGAAATTGGACAATTCATGTTCGAAGGCAGTTCGTTCCTAATTGGAGTGGTTGGTGTTTTGGGTAGTTCTAGAGATCGGATTTCACTAAAACTCAACCAAACAACTCCTCCCACCATATTATGATGTTGCCCAAGTTTTGGGCTCGATCCGAAATCAATAGGTGTAAGAAATTGGACAATTCAAGTTCAAAGGCAGTTCGTTCCTAATTGGAGTGGTTGGTGTTTTGGGTAGTTCTAGAGATCGGATTTCACTAAAACTCAACCAAACAACTCCTCCCACCATATTATGATGTTGCCCAAGTTTTGGGCTCGATCCGAGATCAATAGGTGTAAGAAATTGGACAATTCAAGTTCAAAGGCAGTTCGTTCCTAATTGGAGTGGTTGGCGTTTTGGGTAGTGATGGAGATTGGATTTCACTCAAAAC